GTTTCTAGTTGATCTGTTCAATTGAATGACATCAGACATCGAAACTAGAGTTGACAAGAGTCGGAAATTGGAGTTTTAATGTGAAAAAAAAAATGTGTATGAACTTAATGAATATTGGAGATTATCTGTTAGCTGATCTAAACTAAAAAAAAAATGATTCAGTAAGAATTTGAAATAAATCAACTAGCCAAATTTTGGGTCTCCTCTAGCATGATCGGATCGATTCATTGACATCAGCTGCTTCTTTCTAAAAGAAAACACTTTGAAGAAGAAACACGGTAAATAAGCTCATGGTTTTAATCGAAATTTATCGCTACTATACCCATTAGCGATGTGTAGGGTAAGCTTTTTCTCATACCTTATACTCTGACTGACAAAAACTTTTTAATTCCTCCTGTAGTTTATCGTGGAAAAACTTCATCGTATATTAGTTCATGCTGCAGGGTATAGTAATCTTCCATATCTCTAACACTCATCTAAATATTATGAATAAATACTGGTTAATCATCAGAAAACAAGAAAAAAATCAATAATTCGAAAAACATTTCGTAAATCTTACTTTCACACCTCATTCAGATATTCTAATACAAATTAATTCAATGACAAACGATATTTTATTATCATAATTTTTGTTAACATTTTTGTTTTGCTAAATATAATAGTTATTTATTGATCGTGTTGCGTTCTCGTGCTGAATTTTCATGTGTGCATATCTTTTTCGTTCTTAAGTTTCGTTGCTCACCACTCCAGTTCGCATTCAAACAACACCGTGATATTGCTTCCGGAAGCCATAGTTTTCTTTTAAAGATTTTTTTTCCGTGAGTACAAATTATGAAAACCTATGTCACGATAATCGATCGAAATACGCCTGTTAACTGTACTTTATCGTTCAAATTACTTGAAAATAATTGCTTCACTAAATACAACTCATTTGATCTTACTATTCCTATCTCAATGTATGAATATTTCTCAACTCGTGGAATAATGACAGATTTTAATGAAGTCATGTTTTCTTATTTTTTCATGATAGAGAAAATAGCGATACCATGTAATATAACTTGTTGTAATATATTAAAATCGACTCTTTTTGAGTAGAAATTGATGTTTTCAAGACAGACAGTGTCAATTTAATAAAAAAAAAAAAGTCAGTAAACATGTAAGCTTTAAAAAAAGAGAGAATAAATCAATTGAACTGATAGATTTTTTATAAACCATAGTTTTTGAAGAAAAACAGAAGACATGAGAAGAAAATTTTTCTAGAATTTCAATAATTCTAAAACAAAACCAAACTTATATTCGTTTAGAACAGCTTTGCAATTTGTTTTTTTTTGGCATGAATTATTCACCAAAAAGATATTCATATTAAGGATCCTGCTCTTTAGAAAACTAGTTTTCTTCTCGAAAACAAATTGGAAATAAAATTTTCTTTAAATAACAATCTCATGAGATGTTCTGTTTTACCGTATATATATTTTTTTCGTAAAATAGTCAAATTTTAATAGATTGATTGAAGAAAACTTAGACTCTATTACAATGTTTTCAGAGAAATTCCAGTAGTTTTTCGAAGTTTCTTCAATTCAAGATAGCGAGTACATATTTCTATTCTATCCTCAATATTCAACATATAAATCGCACGTATTGTGCAGTGATGTAACAGTTTTCAATATAACCACCGTTTTTTATATCATCTGGATATATTCTACAAATCAACACAATCATATTTTGATGAGTTTAATGTTTTATTTAGAAGAGTTATATGTTCTTGAGAAGTACTCATTAAATAATGACATAATGGAAAACAAACGAACTAAAAAAGAAAGCGATTAGAGCCGTAAAATTTTCAATTATATTTTAATTAAATAAAAGAAAATAGATGTAATCGAGCGTATCTAGAAAATAAATTTGTATAGAAATATGCACGTCATGCAAAAAAGAGAGAAGACTCACAGAACAAAATCGACGTAAAAGAATGTGCTATAAACACGATCAATGAAACTGTTGTTTTCCTCGGTAAATATAAAACTCTAAAAATCAGACCATTTATTCTGCGTTTAAAAACTCACTGAAACTGCAGTGTTATGAGAATATGATTATACATGGTTTCCCATCACCGGCGATTATCGCGGTTTTCATATACTGATAAAAAAAAATCGATTCTCTCAAAATCAAAATAATTGATAAAGCTTTAAACATTCTAAGGAAATAATCAAAGATGAACATCGAATTTAACACGATTCCTCAAGTTCTTTTAGGGGAACTTTGACTCAGTGGAGCTGATTCGCAGTGATCAGCCTTACCTGAACATTTCACAAATTTTAATAGAATTGTCCTACAAGGAGCTTCATACGGAGTACAAAGTTGATCAGCTTGCTCGCATATGTTACATACGTGCTATATGTAGTGATCAGAAAAATGATGAAATATCGTGCGCACAGTAGAGCGTGACATTTTTTTCGTTCTTACAGACTTGTTTACATGTCATCCTTGTGAATAACAACATGTGTGCAAACAATAGTGCATATTATATGCAGTTCGACCCTTTGAAACAGTAGTTTCATGTTGATGTAACATGGTTTGAAAAAATCGTTCTAAAACACAAAATTAGATATCACTAATAGTCTATTATAAATCGCTTAACTACTAACACTATGTCACTATCTTATCAAAACTGATTGAATAGTGTGATATATTCTGATTTTTTTAAATAAATGGTTGTATGGTACTTGATTTAATTGAATTATTGAGCTATAACACATTTAATAATCACATTTCTTTAACTGAGAAAATGACAGCTATGTTGCCTCACAAAGAAGATAATGAGAAACAGATAGAACTAAATTGAAGAGAATTGACTGACAACAGTTATCTGATGATTATTCGCTTATTCTTTTCCGCGCTAGATATATGTGCAAGATGTGCATGGTTTTTTTCCTCCCGCTGACACCACAATGACACACCATATCTGATACCGTATCATTTGAAACCGATAATTAATGCTTTACTCAAAACTACAGTTATCACTAAGCACACTGTGGTTTTCTGCATGGGCAGAGGATGACTAGTAATTTAGTATCTGCTTTGTGAAATAGCATATAAAAATAAGAAGCTCTACTGTTTTGGTTTACTTCAGATTGAAAATTTTTGTTGTGGTATTTCTTATTGTCTTAATGATTATTCTTCGTTTAGCCTAATATTCTCAAGTTAGAAGCTCATTTTGAACGCGATGATGCTGTCTATATCGTTACTGAACGTATGGAAACAGATTTATGTAATTATATAACTAGCTCAAAAGATGGTTATCTTCATGAAGATATATGTCGAATGCTTACTTATCAAGTTATTGTTGCTTTGAGATATCTTCATGCAAATAACTGTGGTCACCTTGATGTTAAATGTGATAATATTCTGTTATCACTTCTTCAACCAATACCGACAAATAGCGATAAATCATCTAACAAAGGAGAAAATTCTAATCAAGATTTTCCTCTAGTTAAATTAGCTGATTTTGGTTATTCAAGAATGATTGGTGAACATTCATTTCGTAAGACACATGTTGGCACGGTAAGATTTTTGCAAAAAAAGATAATATTCATTATTTTGTTTCGATTAATTGTTTTTTAGAGAGTTTATAATGCACCTGAGATTCATCATAGTAAAGAAGGTTATAATCGATTAGCTGATATGTGGAGTGTGGGTATTGTCCTATATGCTGCACTGTCTGGTACATTACCTTTCGAAGAAAAAGATTGTTTACGTGCTGAAGAAATTTTTCGTGATAAAGGTACAATTTTTACTGGTCAACGATGGGGAAAAGTATCGAAAGATGTGCTTGATCTTATATCAAATCATCTATTAGTTGTACAACCAACATCACGCGCAAGAGCGAATGTAAATTAAGAACATATCTAAATTATACTATTTCTTGTTTACTTTTATTTCTTTGACAGGAAGCTCTCTTTCATAATTGGTTTACTGATTTTCTTTTATATCAAAACCTACGTGAAATTGAGAAACGAACAAGACACTTAATGACAACAAAACAACTAGATCCTCCATCACCATTAACTTGGCTTACAAGTGAACGTGAAGATCTTGTATGGACAGAATATCAAACCTTATATGCAAAATCAAAGAAGAAAAACTAGTATATATATATATTTGTTCAAAAAATAAATCGTGAAATAAAATATTGATTATTGCGATGTTTAAATGCTTTTTTTTGTAGTTTTTTTTTTTTTTTTTTTGTAAACAAACAATCGAAGAAAAAATATCGGTCCTATTTGTTAATTTTAAAAAAATATCATGTTTTTTGTAATTTTCATTCAATAAAATCTTGTATCAGAAATAATTTGTTTACTTAACATTATTTCAATAATTAATGTTTATACTAATACAGTTCGAACGTTAAACTTAAGCATTTCTGTCTATATTCGAATTCATCTGTACAGTTACATCAACAACATGAGAAAGATTTATTAGTTTGCAAGTTAAATTCTATAAAGTTTCGAAGATTCATGTAAAAGAAAATACTTCGATCTTAATAAACTATTCACTCATCCTACATGCATGTCTAGCTCTTATCTTTAGTTTTTTTTTTCATCATTATGAAAAGAGTTTCTTTAAAAAACACTCCAAGCGAACTTTTTTTCAATACTAAATGCAAAAATTCTTTTTTTTTATTAATAAAGAATTTTATGTAAAGTTGATATTAATATTATTATTATTATTTAAATTTAAAAAAAAATCAGCATCTATATTATCCTTGTTTTCTTATATTTTCTGGACTTTATCGTTTATATATTTATATATGCTTGGAAAAAAAAATCTCACTTTTTCTGCGTCAAAGACACATGATAAAAACAAAAAAAAAAAGAAGAAAATACATATAAACACACGTCAAATGAAATGCTATACAAAAGATGGCATACAAACTAACAAATCCAATGGCAAAAAAAAAAGAAAGAAAGAAGAAGAAGAAAACAAAAACAATCAATATTGTCTCAAATAGTGGGTAAGCCTTGACTTTCAATACGGATAATTTTATGAAAAATTCGTTTAAATATTGCCGATCGGGAACATGAATCAAGTGCAAATAAATAAATAAGAAATAAAATGAATAAAATGAAAAGACCAATTAGAAGTGAACAAAACCATGTTTGTTTTAAACGATTCCAATATGTATCTTGTCGATATAAATTTGATGGTAATTGATTTAAATTTGATGATAAATAATTTTTATTTCTTAGAATATTTTCATTTTTTGATGTTGTTTGTTTTTGTATACGACGAATAAGTGATGATTGTGATGTTTGATCAAAATTTCTATTCGATGATGTTGGAAATAATAATTGATCATTTGATGTTTGTTGATTATATATTGTTGATGATGATGATGTTTGATCTAATTCAATTCCACTGTCAGCATGTTGTTGTAAATTATCTTTTGTTATTTGATGATGATTTCTTATGGAGCAATTCACCGGTTTACTATGTTGATTAGATAAATCATCATCTGTTGTATCTTCATCATGATTTTTATCAGTTGAATCCATGAAAAATTGATTTTTATTTGATGTTAATATTTGTTCACTATTTAATTTATTATGTGGAATGTTATGATGATGATGATGATATTCAGTATTTGTTGTTGATAATGTATTTGTTGTTTGTTCATAAAAGACAGGTTTAGGTACTTCAATAACTGTTTCTATATATAAAACTTTGCAATCATCGGATATATAAGACGATGTTGTACTTTGTTTATTTGATGTTTTACTAGTTGTGCTACTTTCTATAAAACCGATAAAAAGAAAATAATTATGATATATATATATATAGGGTTATATTTATTTTCGTTTGTCAAGGTTTTTCTCTTTCTTTTTTTGTTTTTGCGTTATCAAAAAGAGAAAACAAAAATTGATTGGCTTCACCTTGCGATGTCTATTTTAATCGAATACGTGACATATAGATAGATGACTCTCATTGTTTGATGAAATTAAATAATGAAAAAAAAAAATTTTCTCTACGTGCTTAATACAAACTTACGTTGCATATCTCGAATTTCTTTTTGTCTGTATTGATTGAATATCATTTTCTTCTTTCGAAAATTATCATTCGAATTATTTGTATATTGTTCTTGTGGAGTAGATGCTGTCGATGATGTTGATGTCGACGAATTAATATTTGTTGAATTATTATTATTAAAATTAATTGGACTATCAAATGAAACATGTTTTTCTTGTTTACGAATTAAATCATTAAACATTTTTCTATATATATCTAATTTATATTCATAATGATTTTTTATAATTAAATCGGAATTATTTATTGGAATCATTCGTTCATAATTATCAATTAATGTTTGTAATTCTTGAAGTTCAATCTAAGAAGAAGGAATATGTATATATATTTCGTTTAATAATAAAAATAATTTACTGGATAATCGAGAGAAGTCAATTTTTGTTCAATATGATTTTCAATAGATATAAGATTATCAATCATTGTTAATAATGTACGTAATTGATTTCGATATGAATCCATTCTAAATCGAATAAAATAATACAAAATAAATAAAAACATAATAAATAATGTTTTTTACTTATTTGAAAATTGTTCAAGTGTTAAATGACTATTATGTAAATGTTCATCCATATTAAATGATAATGAAACATCTGGATAAGTCATACGATATTCTTTTAAATGTTCTTCAGCTAGATGAAGATTCGTATAAAATGAAGTTAATTTCTATTTAAAGAACAAATAATAAATGTTTATTTAATGATGATTTATCGTTTTCTTTTCTTTTTTTTGTTTTTACTTGACGATTTTCTTTTTCTAAATCAATTTCATAAGAAATTTGATCTTTTAACTGATTCAATGAATTATTGTCAAACCATGAAGGATTTAACGATATATTGATTTGAGATAATTCTTCGTCTAAACGTAATTTTAATTTAATAATTTCTTGTGATATATGTAATAAATGACGTGCACATATTCGATCATTATTAACTTGCTGTCGCATATCATGCCAATCGGTTAAATATTCTGAAAATATAATGTGAAGAATAAATAGTTTTCTATATATAAGAAAATATTGATTGCATCTGTTACGCATTTTTTTTCTATATTGTTATTATGATCAAACTTCTTTCTATCTACTTATATAGATAAATATATGATGATCATTCATCTAATGTATATAAAAATGGTGACAGATCAATTTACACATAGATACATACACGAAGGCATCGTTCATATGGTGTGAAATAAGATTTATGAGCGTAAACGAACAGAAGATTAAATAAAAATACGATAGAGAAGAACAAAGAGAGAGTGTGAGAAAGAACAACTTGTCATCTATTTAGATAATAATAATCAGTTGAGTTATAACAAACTGATCAAAAAAGAAAAAAATTAAACCAGCTTAACATTTAATTGAATGATGTAATATAATATATAACTTACATAGACTTGTATTGGTGGTTCTAACGAAGAAATAACGTGTACGAGTTTCACTTTCTCTCCTCTTTCTCCATTAAGGACAATGAGAATATAGTAGCAGTTGTGTTTCTCTTCTCTTTATCGAAGGACATCGCTTAACTATATATATATAGATAGATCTCGAACGACAGGGAAAAAAAAACGAAGAAAGAAAAGCATGCAAATAAGAACGAAAGAGAAAAGATCATGATCAAATATTTCTATAATATATATATTGCACGAAAATGTAATAAAAAACATCATTTCTATTAATTGGAAAAACAAGCTTATTCATCAGACAGCAGTTAAATCTTGAACAATTACCATCATTTTTAAGAAAAAAAAAAAACAATAGTATCGCGACATTTACAGTCATCAATTTCTGACTACATTAAGATATATATGCTGTATTCTATTGTTATCAAGCATTTGTATGTATATATATATATACGCATATTTAATTCAATTGATTGAAGAGAATAACTTATAACATTATCAAGTGGAAGTATGAAGTACTGTTAAGATGGTTAAATAAACAAAAGCCTTTGACATTCTATCTAATGATAATAGGGGAATAGACGAAATAATTTATGTGTAAGAAATGTCTATTATTTTGAAATTACTTACTTTGTAATAATTCAATAGCTTGTATATTATTAAGACGAGAATTGTTTGATCGATGAAGATTTGTTAAAATTTGTTGTAAACATTGAATATTTGTTTCACATGTACGAAGTATTTCATCCTTGAAAGAGAGCAAAAAATGAAATAACTGAAAAATATATATTTTTTTTTGTCTTTTTCAAATAGTTTTCTTTACATATTTTCGTTGATTACGATTATGAGTTATTGAAATTGATTGTTGTTGTTGTCGTTTTTTCTTTTCTAAACTTTGTCGTGTTTTAAGTAATTGTTTTTCACTTTCATTTATAACATAATTAAAATCATCCAAATCAGAATCTGAATCAAAGTGTTGTTTGTTTGTTATACTTGTTATTAATGATAATGATGAACTATTGTTATTCTAAATATAATGAACAATGATATAGTTATATACCGGAGGGTGTGAATAATTATAATCTATAGTTTAATTAACAGAAAAAAATAAAATAACGGATCAAGAGAAATATTCAATAAGTAGCCCTAAAGGTATATTTAAAAAACAAAAGGTTAAAACCAAAATAATTGGTGTTCGTTTGCCGAAAGTAATAGGTAATCTTCATTATTATGAAAATATATATATATATATATATACATAGATTATGACGCACATCATATTAAGGGCGACTAATAAAAAAATCGGAGTTATAGATTAAAAGAGTGTAAATTCAATCAACCGTGGTGTTCAATGATATCACTAATTGCGCATATTTTCATTTATCTATGTGAGAAAAAGTAAGCTATGTAAGCAAGTTTGATACATCACATTTACAAATCAGAGAAAAAGTGCATCCCACGATTTTTTTTTCTTTTGCTTTCGATCTATAATTAGTAACGGCACGACCTGATCCAAAAAAAAAAAAACGTTTTTTTTCTTTTTTTTGTGCGCGCAGTGAAAAGGCAATATAGAAAAAAAAAAGAAGAAGAAATGCAGAAAGTTCATCTTCATTACTCTACTCATTTTTCTTTTCTTAAAGAACTGCAAAGAGAAAAAAAAAAAAAAGAAGGAAAGAAACTATCTTTATTGGTGTATATATTTTGTGAGAATGAATACTAACTACATCTGGCTTACTGTGCTGCTAAATGAGATACAAATTATGAGGAGAAAATGAACATTTGACCTTTATTAGTGATCAGCATTTGTACATATGATGATAATATGGATATCCTTCAAATGAAATTCATTATGATGTATTACACTTAAATGGTTTCCTATTGTTGTTTTTTTTTTCATAAAGTTGACATTTTTATGCAGAGAAAGGATTTGATACTTATGTTTATCTTAGACACTGTTAAGTTGATTTGTAACCAAAACATAATGTATTTATATAAGTATTATTATTTGAGATATGTTATCATAAATATCTCAAGAGATTACAAAGAAATCTTTTTTTCGGAGCATCTATCAAAATTTTTTATCATTGATAGAAAAAAGAAGAAATCATTAATATAGAATTTCTATAGAAGAATATTTTAAGGCTTCTGTATGGAATTGACTTCAAGGATTGTTAAGAAAGTAAATAATTGTTTTTAATATTGAAAAAAAGTAATCTTATATTTTACCCATAAAGAAGGACGATTGAAATTATCATGAATATGTATATCATCATCGGATGTTGAATTACATAGTTGATCAATTTCGAAAAATTGATCATCCCATTTAAGGATTGTTTCCATTGAATCCATATCTTGAGAATTTAGTTGATAAAAAAGAGGATTCTGAAAATAAAAAGATTATATTAAATAAAGTTTATATTTTCATATGATTTACTTGATATCCATCCCAACATGGTTCAGAACTTTCTATTTTATCATTTATTGTTATTGTATTCAATGATTCGACATCTGAAGAAAGCCAGAAGAAAAAAGAAGTAGTTGTTTAAATGTTTTATAATTAAGAAAAAAAACATAAAAAGATTTTACCGTTTGAAGTTATTGACAGCGGTAAACTTAATGTATGAGTGTTCATCTGAGACATTTCACCTATTAAGAAGAAAAGAAGACATACGAATACTAGATGTAATCTATATGACTATTATTCTCCAGGGTAGTAAATGCTTTAACTCTTTCACTTTCTTTTTATTGTTAAAAAAGTCAATATATGACTGAATTAGACTTGTTCTAAGACAAAACAAATGTTAACATCTGGTTTGTATTCTAACCTGAGTATAACAATGATTGATCTTCAATTTCAGATGGTATTGTTGTTCTTGTTTCAGGCTCAATATCTGATGAATAACCAGTTGTTGTTGTCGTTGTTGTATATCGATTATAAAATAGAGAATCTGAATTTTGATAATGATTAATTGGTGATAATGATATTAAATCTGATGATAAAGTATCAACATCATCTTCTGATTGTTCTTGATCAGTATATTCTGTACTTGCATCGTATGAATTTGATATTAGTGTAGATTTTTGTTGAATATATTTTTTAAGTTTTGTATATTTTTTACTATACATAAGTAAAGATGGTTTGAGTTTAGGTTTTTTTTTTTCGTCAATACTCATATCAATATCGGGATTTGAACATGTATCATAAGCTGATGTTATTGAATATCTCCACCATTTCGGTAACATATGACTATGTTGAAATAATGGTAATGATTGTGTTAATGATGATAAAATATTCGTTGTTGATTTTTTAAATTTAAGTTTACTGTCACTTTGACTTTTTTTTATTGTTGATATTGGTTTTTTGTCATAATCATCTTCACTTGCATAACCAATATCTAATTTTGATGATGTCTTTTTTTGTTTTTTTATTATTATTTTATCTTCATTATCATTTAGATTTGTTAATGAATAATAAACTGTTGAAGGTGAAAGTTTAGGTAAAAAATTTAATGACATACGTCGTTTCGATTTAATCATTTTTCTATTTAAATTCGATGATATTTTACATATATTAATCCTAATATTAGGTGATCTTGAACGTTTACGATTAATTAAAGAAGAATTAATATCAAAATGAATACTTGTATTATTTGACGATGTTAAAGAAATTTTTTCGTATTCACTTGAATTAAATGGTATGATATCGTCTTCGTCAATTAAAGGAAGAGATGTCGAATGCTAGAAATAAAAAAATAATATTGATTGAATTTTTAACGATTGCATGATTGAAGGTTACTTGAGTTTCTTTCTTTTTTTTTCTTTCTTCTATTCTTTTTTACTTATGTATATTACTGATGTTCTTGTCACTATCAACTGTCTTTTTTTTTCTCGGAGGACATACAATGTTCAATTAAGCGAGAGCGAGTATAGAAGGAAAAAAAGGGGAAATTCGAGATTATAAGTAGAAAAGAGAAAAAAAAGATGATTATGTAATCGATGTCTCAATTTCTACTACTCTCATCCTGTCCGTTTGACAGGCTATATCAGTCTTCGTCGTTGTACTGTTATCACCATTCAATCAGCCATTCATATATCTACAAACGAACAAGCAATAGTATCTAAGCACAAATCCGTCGACCAGTACTCTTGTGTACTTATATATAAGAATAAAAAACAGTATAAAAATCTCCAATGTGTGAATTCGATAGGGAACGAAGTAAAAAGCATCATAAATTACGTTATTAATCAAGAACATACTCGAGTATAACGACTTTCACGGTCATATAGAAATAATACGTTGTTTTATTTGACAAGTCTATTAATCTTTATTGCACTAGTGTTGATATAAATCAATGGTAATGTTGAAGATGCTATTTAATACACAACAATAGAAAAGAAACAAGAGAAGACAATTGAAAATTACTTTACAATTTTTTTTTTCGTCTACCCTTGTATCCAATTCTTATGTCTGTCTGCTTTGACGCGACTTCAATTCTCTTCTTCTTGTCTCTTTAAACACACATACTACCAATTCTATTGTTATTCTTCGATAGACTTACATTAAGTTAGCACACGATTAAGAGAAAAAAAAATCAAGAGAAGGATGTCTTATGATGATGACACGCACATAAATGTGAGAAAGAAAATTGAGAAGATGATTGTTTCATTGTTTATCGAAGCGATTTTGAATTTAAGAAAAAAAAAGAAAACAAAACAAAAGAAACTGTCTGTAACAAACGTTATTTTACCTGCAAAGTGGGTCAACAATAAACGAATAACTAAAACATATGTCAATAGACAAACAACAAGCTGACACACAGACATCCGAATGTTAGATGAATATCTTTTCCTTTTAATATAAATATAGGTCAATCATTTGTTAGGGGCACCAGATCGACATTTTCAAACAAAAGAAACGGACTTGCCAGATACTTGTAAATCATTCTTAGACAATAGATAAGGAACAGAAGGTCTATCATTCATTATTAGTGACCTACTCGATCGTAACGAATAGTAATAATCAATAATTTACGCGAGAAAGAACAATTTCACCGTCATTTCTTTTCTTCTTTTTCTCGGTTTGTTTGATGTATGTCATCTAGCATACGTTCTAATGCGTATTTTATTTCTCTTCTATCCTCCATCTCTTTTAAGGTGAACGATAACGAACAAAACTTACTCTCAACAAGCATTGAATTGGTATAAATCGACAATCATTACAACTGAAAAACTTCTTGTCTCCTTCATTTAGTCAAACAAATATCATTTGAAATTGTCAGACAATGAATAAAAAAAAAGTAGGGAGATGTAAGCAGAAAGCGAAGAAAAAAAAATGAACGTTTGTACACTCTTTTGGTTCTTCAAGTATAACAATACATACGTATATACATATGTATATAAGAAATGTGCTTTTTCAATGAATAGAAAAAGAAATTAAACATCTACACACACATACAGGTCATTCTCCTAATAATCTAAAGTCTGCTCTGTAATATATGAGTTAGTAATTACCAGTGAGCAAGCACTCAAGAGATGATAATATCATTAAAATACAGAGAGGCGACAGCGATTGAGTCATTCATCAAGCATACGTAAACGGACGTGCGTGCCATTTAAAATGTGATGACACACGGAATACATAACAGCTGTATAGAAAAAAAAGGTAACTGGCACGAATTACACCCCTGATTTATCATTTTAAAAATATGTATGTCACACATAGATCAGTAGATAATTACCATTTTTTTTTATCAAAAGTAAGAGTACAAATATAGGCTCATATGAAGACAAATAGAAAAAAAACTCACTTTCACTATTTTAGATCTTTCTTCAAGTTTACATTGAATTTCAACTGAATTAATCCATAATTGATGCCATCTGTTTTCAAGATCACTAGCATAATCAAATGGAATTCGTTCAATTTGTTGTTGATAATCAGCTTTTAAGCGATCACATATTTCAATAACAGATGATACACGACTGTTTCTCGATTTAATTTCATCTTGTAATTTCTAAATTAATTACAATTAACTAGCAAACATCTTTAAGAGAGTTCCATTTTTGCTAAGTATTTTAGAAAACAACCTACGAGGAAACATTCCCAAGTGATATCAACCATTCGTGTTCACAATCTGCTCATAAGTAGGATACAGTGAGACTAGAAAAAGTCCAAAAGATTTCATGTCATTAGACCTTTCTTTTAAAGTTATGACCGTTTTACTGAATTTTCGACGTTGGGTAAGGAATTTGTAGAAAAATTGAATGATGAAATTTTGGGCAGAAATTTTGCGTAACAATAGGTCTCATCGATATTAGAACTAAGTAAAGCTTTCAGTTAAAACTGATACTTCCTACTCGCGATACTGCATATTGAAGAAAATGGTTATGTTTCAAAAAATTATCGTAAAATTGGCTTGTCTTCAATATGCCATATCTCGAAAAAGAAGTATCCGTCTTAACTGAAAGTCTTACTAAGTTTTAATAACGATAAGACCTATTGCTAGGCAAAATTTCAGCCCGAAATTCCATCATTCAATTTTTCTACAAATTCCTTAGCCAACGTCGAAAATTCAGTAAAACGGTCATAACTTTAAAAGAAAGGTTTAATGGCACGAAATTTTTCAGACTTTTTCTAGTCTCACTGGATCCTACTTATGAGCAAATTGTGAGCACGAATAGTTGGTATCACTTGAGAATGTTTCCTTGTTAGTAAAAGTTTTCGAAACTCTCAAGATAAATAGAACTCTGTAAGTGGAATAAAAATTTTCGTAGATTGAAAATAATGTGCATCCTGACTGCGATTTTTATGGTTGAAATTTCTTTTTGTATGGTAACTAGGATCAAACTTTGCTACGTGTTCGGTTTCTTTTGAAAAATGTTGTTTCTGCAACTCAAAAGTATCAAAGTATTGATATCATCATCCAAAAAGATAATTTTTTTCACTCATGATAATTTTGTACTATCTGAAAAACTTCGAAGATACGTTTATTTTTTTCGAGAAAGAGAGAGCTAACACGCGGTTCAATTTTATCGAAGTATCCATTGAAATTAACCTAAGTCCATACGATCGTACTGTATAGAAGAACACCTCAACTATTTGTTTGAAAATTTAGTTATAAGAAAAATCAAAAAAAAAGCTGCATAGATTTGGCTGTTTTAGTAAAAGATAAAATTTTATTTTTAAGAAAAACAGAGGTTGTGACTTCTCAAAATATGATTATTTAACTACAAGTCAAATTAAATATTCTACCATAAGTTCTTGAAAATCTTCTAATAAGATCTTTTCATTTCGAATGGAATTAAATCTTTCCAATTGTTCTTCAATTGTAATAATCCATTCTTCAAATAAAAATAATTCATTATGAAGGTCTATAAACACAAAGACAAATATAGTCATAGGATTTCATCAATAAAATAAACCTTGAATAATTCGATCGAAATCTTCATCTAAATAACCAATAAAACGTGCTTCAAGTTCATTCCATATTTTATAAATTATTTCCATCTTAGTTTGTATAACAATATTTAAATCCGGAAAACGTTCAATTAATTTATTTGAGTATTGATTAAACATTCGTAAACGCATTAAACCTTGTTCATATAGTTCTTCATAATATCTCTACAAAAAAAACATATTTGTCAACTGCAAAAAATTTCATTTTTGTCTTACTTGTCGAAGATAACAAGTTAAAGTATTTGATGAAATCTTTTTAATTACATCGGAGATTTTCTCACACCAATCGGATAATTCAACGTATTGTTTCTCAAATTCATTATAAGATACATGATGAACAGCAAGATCATTTAATGAACAAAATGGTTCTTCCAAAGAACTCTAAAGAAAATTAATTCCCTTAAATCTTTCTTTTCTTTTTTAAAATTCATCTTTTAAACTTACTTTACAATGACAAATAAGTTCTTCTGACATAAGAAAATTATAATTATCTACAAGTGTACCATTCCAAAATTCTTGTCGTTTTTTATTGATTCTATAACAGAAAAATAGAACATATTTATATACGTATGTACATGTTAAATTTGCATTAATAATGAAAAAAGAAGACTCTCGGATGATGTTGAACATATGACGACAATGCTTTTCTCTTTGACACAAAAAATGTCGACGAGTGATAGGTGAATGACCTTTGTATTAGGAAAATGGTTCAGGTAAATGCATGCATGAAAACGTGTATAATGACAATGACGAATAAAACTGTTGAAAAGTAATAAAAATATTTTACCGATATGATACGTTAAGAAATGGCTCTTTAATTTAACAATTTTATGAAAAGAAAGAAATCACAACAAACTTTTCTAATTAACTATTGGTAATAACTATTGATATTTTATCATAAAAATAAATCTTGTCTCTAATGAAGATAGTAGATCTAATGTTTTATGACATTGACATTAGATTTATATCAGACTAGAAGATTGGAAGAATGATTGGAAAATAATTATCATCGAATATGACAAATAATATTTGGACAGATTTCTCAAGGATTGAAACATTTTCTAATATCCATCATTCAACGTTTGACAATCTAGTTCGTCAGGTAACAACTGACATTTAAATCAAAGCCAAGGACATGCTTATTCTTTGAAGATTTGTCAGGCATAAACGTCTCAAGAAGGCCGATTAAGTTGACGAGCAATGAAATGTTGGAACTGCACTGAAGAAAAACGAAAATTTTTCAAGATTAAGAGTCGTGCACAATTTCAACTCGGAGCACTCTTGATTGTTTGTCATGATTCATTTAGGTATGATTGTAGCATAACAACCAAGTTCTGCTGTAGAACTTTCATAGGTCTTACAAGGGAATTTTTTCAACTGATCAGTCACTTTTTAACAAAAACTATTGAATTAGAGATTACAGATCATACTGGCTCCGACTATGACCATGAGAAATCTCCTTAGATTTTCATATATCGTTTTTTTAGAGTAAGAAAATTTTTGCTAATCTTTTTATTTGATCTAATACAAATTATAGAACATATCAATTCATCTCGATAACAGTAACTTTTTATGTTTCAAACGGTATTTTTTCACGAAAAAAACATACGATGACACTATTTTACGTAAAAATCATATTCAAAAAACAAAAAAGATTATTGACATTTAGGCAACTTCATATACTCTATAATCTGATTAAATCCAAAAGTACTTTATAGAAAACCAACATATAAAGATCTAAAAGTATTTCTCGTGATCATATTCTTAACCCCACATACTCGATAATCCATTATCTAATAGCTTTTGGAGAAAAAATGACTAATCAATCGAAAACATTCTTTTGCTAGAAACGATGTTTTTTTTTTTCAGTGTCTTATGCAATAGACTTTATCTGCATGGATCAGAATAGAAGTCGAAAAATTCTTGAAATCAGTCGAAACATTTTTCTTTCACACATATTACACTCGAATAACAATGCAAATATTGTTATGTGATAGTTTTAACTTAGGACAATTCTGTTATCCATGAAAAATCTTGGAAACGAATACTTATTTCAAATGAAAACTATGATGTAATTTTTAGAATGATTTTCAATAAGTTTTATTTATCTATTCAAAAGAACGAAAGTATATCAAAGGTTAAAAATCTTTTATTCAGTTACATTGCATGCTTAAACAAGAAAAATACAAATCATAGTTACTTGCACGCTTGTCTTTGGCGACTAATAATCAAAAAACTAATTTCTATAGTGATTTGCTTTAGGCATGCCAGCTGCACTATTTATCTTCCATTTCTATCTTCATATTTTGTTTCTCTCTTTTCTTTGGAATCAGTTCTACGCTTCTATCAGCTCGCTATTTTGTTCTGTCTATTTTCTTTTTTAGTTATCACACTACTTTGCTTCTTTCATATAAACATTTACATATCTGGAAACCTTGACAGTACATACTACTGTTACTCTCATTTGTCTTTTATTTCAAATACGTTTTTTTTTTTCTTGGATGCATTTTTACTTACACATGTATCCTAATTTGTTTATTATATGTCCTGTAACATATTAAGGTCAAGTAAATGCTCGTGAAAAAATGTATTGTGTATAAGTCATCGTCATAGTCAAATGAGTTCTATTTTATTAAATATCAATTTTAACTTTTGTTCTATTCGATAAGGAAACGAAAGAAAAAAAGAGAATAATTTAAAAAACAAAAAAAAGTATCAATGACATTCTTGCAAGTGAAATTAACAGAAAAAGAACAATACATACTTAATTGAGCTTGGAAATAATGCAGAATGCAATGATGGATTATTAATATTCATATTTATGTAATATGGCGATGTTCAATTGATAATGTAAACAATCATTCTTATAAACTTTTGTAATCTGAAAGTATATAAGTATATAATTTGTCAAACATTAATAATTAGTCGATATAAAAATTTAGTTAACCTTTAATCGAAAACTACCGATTTGATTAAATCATTTTGCCATTTCGTCGATAAAACTTCTTTTTTTTTTTCTTTTTGTTTTGCTTTGTCAAAACTTTTCTATTCAATTATATTTATATCGATAGAAAAAACGAAGAAATATTCAATATTTTATCAGAAAAAAGTACTTGTTACGATAGAGCATATAATTCAATAGGTCATAATATACTGACAACAGATGTGACCGTAATTATTTATCGATATTGTTACTTATCTTCGAGAAATATTCATCTAAATAGCAATCAGCCATTTTCATATCATCGAAATGTCTTCGTACGTGTAACGAAACTGCGAAAGAAAAACGATGTTCATTTGACAAGAAACATATTTTACGTTTACTCATTTCAATGATCAAATACATTTCGATTAGAATATATATATAAATTATGTTCATAATGTATATTTATGACGAAAAATCAAGGGTAGATCTAGGATTACTGAGCAGAGAGATACCTGTCTCGAAGAGGAGCGAGCATAAGCGACCTGGAAAAAAAAACTGAAGTTATTCTTTTGGAAGAATACAACCATTACATCGATGTTATTTCAGGATTAATAGAATTTCATTTTTCTTCACAAGATTTTAAAATAATATCGTAGTGATTTTTTTGATCCATGAGGATTCTTAGTCATAGTCTCATTTCTTTATTTTATATGACAGAACGATGAAATGTTTTAAGTAG